AGAGCTAGAATGTGGCAAGTGGAGAGAAAGCCTAAGTTTCTCTTAGACAGGCCTGAGCTCAAGCCCAGATGTGCTATTTACCTGGGCTGGCTTGGAGGCTGCAAGGAGCAGTAAAGAAGTGGTTAGTGGATTACAGAGCCTTCTTCCACAGACCACAGATACGTCACCCTTTCTATCTGCCCTGAGCAAGATAATCCCTGTCAGAGGGACACAGCCCTGTTCAGATACATCCCTTTGAATGAGTAAGCGGTGCAATGCACTCTGGTTCTGATTCTTATTATGCAAACTGTTAAAAGGATTTGACTGAGACTCCTAGAGTCCTAAACAATTAATTAGCATTAATGCCTATCACATTTTCCAAAAATCGAGTTTTATGCTCCTGATGGAATACTAAAGCACTGGGAAGGGGGAAAGTAATCAGATAGAAAGGTGACTTTACTTCCTACCCAGCTTAGATGCAGAAGAGGTTGGGAGAGTTTAGGTATAAATATACAAACAAAAAAAAAGCCCATACTCCAGTGTTCACTGCAGCACTATTCATAATAGCCAAAATATAAAATTAGCCTGAGTGCCCAAGAACAGATGACTGGCTAAGGAAACTGAGGTACATATACACAGTGGAGTACTACTTGGCCCTAAGAAAGACTGAAATCATGAAATTTGCTCCTGCCTGGATGGAACTGGAGAGTTCCGAGCTGAGTGAAGTTAGTCAGAAAAGGAGGAGCAGATACAGATTGTTCTCTCCTAGAGGCGGGATATGAAGAAACAGAATAGGGGAATAACAAAGGCAACAGAAACTGAAGACTTGTGTTCAACAGGAAGCTTGGTGGGGCTGAGAGGTGGTGTAAGGGGTGGATGAGTGACACTGGGACAATAGTGGAGGGAAGTAGACACAGGTGGAGGGTGTGGTGCTGGAATAGTTCGTGTGTGAAATCTTACAGTTTGTAAAACATGGTGCCCCTCAAATATATATGTATATATTTGTATATATATACATATATATGAAGAATAGAGATATATTGAAGGGGCTGGAATATTCAATTGTTTTTATCTAATCATAAATAATTTTCTTGAAAAACAGACTTCTGCTTAAATTTTCACTATGTCCTCCCTCCTCGGAATATTCTGGGGACCATAAGAAGGCCATAAGACCCTCAATTGAAAAACACTGCTCTCACACCCTCTGCATTAAATTTTTTAAAATGGATTCCTGAGGGACTGGAGAGATAGTACAGTGGGTAGGGCGTTTGTCTTGCACGCGGCCGGACCCGGGTTCGATTCCCAGCATCCCATATGTTCTCCTGAGCACTGCCAGGAGTAACTCCTGAGTGCAGAGCCAGGAGTAACCCCTGTGCATCGCCAGGTGTGACCCAAAAGGCAAAAACAAAAAAAATGGATTCCTGAATTTAAACATATTCAGTGACCAGGGAGGGGCAGGGGAAGATGGGCAGGAGGGAAACTCGGGACATTGGTGGTGGGAAATGTGCACTGTTGAAGGGATGGGTGATGGAACATTGTATGATTGAGACTTGATCATGAACAACTTTGTAACTGTAGCACTGTAGCACTGTCCTCCCATTTTTCATCAATTTCCTTGAGAGGGCACCAGTAATGTCTCCATTGTGAGACTTGTTGTTACTGTTATTGGCATATCCAATATGTCACGGGGAGCTTTCCAGGCTCTGCCGTGCTACACTTGGTAGCTACTCTCAGTAGCTGGTTGAACTCTCGAAGAGGGACAGAGGACGGAGGAATAGAACCCAGGTCGGCCACATGCAAGGCAAACGCCCTACCTACTGTCCTATTACTCTAGCCCTTCGTAACTGTATATGTCACAAATGATTCAATAAAAAAAAAAATTCAGTGAATATCAATTCACTGTAGTTCTTTTTTTCTTTTTTTTTCTTTTTCTTTTTGGGGTCACACCTGGCGATGCACAGGGGTTACTCCTGGCTCTGTGCTCAGGAATTACCCCTGGTGGTGCTCAAGGGACCATATGGGATGCTGGGAATCGAACCTGGGTCCGCTGTGTGCAAGGCAAACGCCCTACCCGCTGTGCTATTGCTCCAGCCCCTGTAGTTCTTTTCTTTACTGAAATTTTTAGTCCCATCTTTGACCAATGATATATGTATTAAGTTGTCTAGAGCCTTTTTGATAGTTTCCTTGTTATCTGGTACATAAACATATTTCAAGTTCTTATTATGTATTTTATTCCAGGTTTAGGATCAGAAATTTTGTCAAGAAATTGTCTCTTTTTAGTGAGAATTAGTTACATTGCTGGGAGTTTTGCTACTGTCTCAATCAGTTTCTAGCCTTCATTATACAGTTTCAGCATGAACATATAATACCTGTTTTGTGGATATCTGTGTGTGTACACACAGTTTAAAATTATCATGGAAGGTTTATTAAAATTATGAAAGGTTTATTAAAGATCAAGATATTTAAATGAATTACCAAAGATAAGGTTAAAGTTATAAAAACACCTCACAGAAAAAAAAGAGGAGCTTATATTTGAGTAAATGACTTCAAAGTATAAATAACTTTTTCTTTTGTTTGGGGACCACATTCAGAGGTGCTGAGGGCCACTCCTGGCTCTGTATTCAGGGGTCACTCAAGGCCGTGCTCAGGAGACCGTATGGGGTGTTGGGGATAGAACCTGAGTTAGCCTAGTGCAAGACAAACTCCCTACTTGCTGAAATATCTCTCTGGTTCCAAGATATGCAAAGCAAAGCAAAGCAAAGACCCTCCCGTTGATCATCGATTTGATCGAGCGGGCCCAGTAACATCTCCATCGGAGACTTTGTTGTTACTGTGTCTGGCATATCGAATACTCTCGGTAGCTTGCCAGGCTCTCCGAGAAGTATGTGTGAGAGAGAAAAAAAAAGAGAGGAGAAAGGTGTGAGAGAGATGAGAAGAAGAAGGAGGGGAGGGAAGGGACAGAGAGGGGAGGAGAGAGAGAGGGAAGGGGAGGGATGGAGGGATAGCAGATTGAGTCATGCATGTTAAATCTTTCCAGAGTGGAAGTTCATTTGCCCAGGTCCCTAGTGAGAACTTTTTTTTGCCTTCTTGAGCATCATGATCAAAGGTCAGAGGTCTCCACAACATACTTCCTGGGAAAAATATCACGTACCCCCACACACTCGAGATTTTACATAACATTTTCATGGTTTTTAGAGCTCCCTGAAGTCTATGGAAAGGTCTCATTAGTATTCATGGATTCCAGTGTGAAAATTCTTACCACTATATCTTTTGGGGCATTAATGTTTTCCACAGTTGACATGTTACTTTATAATAAGGAACAAACTTGTAATGGGGCATGTGTTGGCACCTGGCATCATAGTTTTGCATTTCCGTGAACCCATTTTACAGTTTTGCGCTAATCCACCTAAAGCTGCTCTATTTCAGACTAGAGAAGCAAAAAACAAAACCCTTGAATCTGAACAAAAAAGCAAAGCCCTTGAATCTTGGCAGCCTAGAGTTTTTCCCCAGTGCACCCCAAATATGACACGGATATCCCTTCTACATCCTCCCTTATGTGTAGTTACAGCTCCCACACCTGCCCAACTCCAAACATACATAATTTTTATAAGTTAAAATTCGCCTTTTATAGGTGTGAGTTAGAGATGTGATTCTGCAGGTTTGGACAAATGTATAAAGTTGCATAAACACCATAGTCAAGATGTAAAACAGACCCCTCACCCCCCAAAGTTCCCTTGTGCCCCTTTGTACTCCCGGCACAAATCATATCTGGGTAATTACTGATTTGGTCCTTATCCTTTTGCTTTGCCCACTTCCATGTCTACTCTTTCCGGTTTGATTGCAGAACTCTTAGCAAGTTTTTGAGATTCATTCATGCTGTTACTTTATTTATTTATTTGGTTTTGGGTCACAGCCGGCGATGCACAGGGGCTACTCCTGGCTCATGCACTCAGGAGTAACTCCAGGCGGTGCTGGGGGGGGGGGGCATATGGGATGCTGGGAATCGACCCCAGGTCGGCTGTGTGCAAGGCAAACGCCCTACCCGCTGTGCAATCGCTCCAGCCCCTCATGCTGTTACTTTAAATATAAAAAATTCTTTTTTGGTTTATCTGACAAAAGGTGGACACTTTGGAGATTATTTGCACGAATTTGTTTTATTGAGGAGGCGAGCGTGGGAAAGGAATTAAGAAGTAGTGGGGAGTGCAGGGCAAAACAGTCACTACATTTCTGTACCATAGACACGCCCCTCTCTCCACGCTGAAGGGGAGCTGAAATTCTGGAATTCTTTCTCACGTGGCCCTGTCTTTACACTTGGCAACTTTTAAAAAACTTGATCGTGGAAAACCAAACGTTTTCAGGTCTAAGTAGACGAGATCCAGATGAAATAACTGACACAGTCCAAACAGGCACCTTGCAGGTTTTAGCCTCACTACCCCACATGTGGGGATCCGGCAGAGTCTGCGTCACCTTAGAAAAAAAGCAGCTGCTGGTGCCCCACCCCAGCCCTACTGAGTCAGTGCCAGCACTTTTACAAGTTCCCAAGTGTGTCGGAGGCTCATTCAAGTTGGAGAAGCATCAATCGGTCGGTTAAAAAAAAAAAAGAAAGGCACACTTTCTTCAGGATGTATCTTTATCCCAACATGTTTTCTTTTGTTCCAATACTCCCTTGGAGTATAAAAAAAAAAAGTCGTCTCAAGCATTCAAGTTTGGGTCTGCGGAGACCCCCTGTCTCCTCGGAGGCAGAGAAGAGATACGAGGCTGCAGACATAGCGGGCAGGGCAGGACAGACCGAAAGGAAGCGATGCGCAGCATTTGGGGGACAGGGGGACACTCTGGTGGGGTGGAGGGGTGGGGCAGACCCCGAGCTGGGAGGCGCACAGCTCCTAAGCTTGCAAAACTTCGAGGAGTGGGGCGGGACGGGGCGGCCTGGAGGGCGTGGCCTCCAAGAGGGGCGGGGCCTCCCGGGGCGGGGCCTCCCGGGGGCGGGGCCGGCACCGCGCGGGGCGGGGGCAGCGGCGAGGCCGCGGGGGCAGCGTCGGCGCCGGGCAGCGGCGGGAGTGGCGGCCGCGCCATGTGGCTGCTGGGACCGCTGTGCCTGCTGCTGAGCAGCGCCGCGGGTGAGTCGGGGGGCTCCGGGGGAAGTTGGCTCGGGGCGCGGCCTCCAGCCCGGCGGCGGCGCGGGTGTGCGCGAGGGCGGACCCCGGCGCTGGGGCTGGCCGGGACCCCGGCGAGGGGCCGCGGCGGGGGTGCGCGGCGTGCTATTGTGTGGGCGTGCGCGCCGGCGGGGTTTTGTGTGTGCTGCGGGCACCCGGGGGAGCCCGGCCAGCCGTCCCGACTGGGCGTAGCTCGAGTGTGCGTGTGTGCGTGCGTGCGTGTGTGTGTGTGTGTGTGTGTGTGTAAAAGGAGGAGGGGCGGGGAAAAAACTCTGCTCTGCTTGCTCGCTCTCTCCGATCCCATCTTCTCGCACTCCCGGGGGCTTTGGTGCAGAGATCTGAGCCCCCCCAAGCCCCCCCCCCCCGCCGTCTCCAGTCCCTGGCATGCACCTCCGTGCCTCAGTTTCTCCTCCGCGCACCCTAGGCAGCCTCGCCGCATCTCTCCTCCCTCCCTCCCTGTGTGGTTTTGATCCGAACCCAGCGTGATGAAGCAGGGCCTGACTTGGGAATTGCTTCTTTACCCCCACCATCCACCCCGGGCCCTGAGACCACATTAAAGTTCTACCCACCACCCCCACCCCGACCCCCTTTCCTTATTTTGCGCTGCCCGCCCGGGAAGGAGGCCTCCCCAGAACAGACCCGAGCGCGCCCCTTTGGCGGGCACATGCCCATAGCAGCGGGCGCATCCCGAGGCTCCGGGCAATGCCAGCTTGCTTCTCCCAGACAGCTTGCTTGCTGTTCCCAAGAACTTTTCTGCTGATGTGGGCACGCTCGGAATTCCAGCCTGGGAGCCCTTGCCTCGTCCAGTCCTGGGCCACAGCTGTCGGCTGCACCACCCCCCCTTTCCCTCCTCCCCCCACCCCCAGGCACGGCCAGCGCTTGATACCCGCACCCCTCCACCCATGTTTTATTTCTGGGCAGTTGATCCCTAAGAAAGTGGGTGACAGGGCCCTGCGAACTTTCTTCAGCAGAGGCTGGCATGACTGATGTTTGTGCCAGCCACATGTCTCATTTTCTTGGAGCCACTTGCTTTGGACTGCGTGTGTGTGTGGGGGGGGGCAGTCGAGCCGGTGGACTTCATTCTGAGCTGCCTCCTCCCACCCTCAGGCCCTCAGGTATGCTCTTGGAAAGGAAGCTGTCCCTTCTTGAGGTCCTAGGTCCTGGCTAAGCTCAGAAGCCACTGGACAGCCTTTCCTCCGGCTCTCAGACTTATGACATCATCCTCCCTACTCTCTGAGACTCCCTGTCCACATCTGTGGGTTTGCTGTGGCTTCCCTGGCCGGGTGGATGCTCTGAGGTTTGAAGCAGTCTGGGTCAACGTGCCCTGTTTCTCTTCCCAGCTATTGGCCCTGCTGGGGTGGGGGTGGAGGGGTGCTCCACAGGGGGTGCTGGCAGTCTGCAATGGTGTCAGTGGTTATTTGGAGGCTCTTGGAACAGACACATTTCCAGGGCATGTCAGGCATGAAGACGTGTCTAGATTCCCACTCTCAGTTTACATAGGCGTGGCATGTGCCCTGATAACACCCTGCTGGGACAGTCTGGAAGCTCTGGTGTCTGGGACCCCGGTGGCAGCTGAGATTTACTGTGCCCACCCGCTCATCCCCCCTGCCCCAAGGTCGCTGCTTCAGTGTAGACGCCCCATCTCTGTAAAAATAGCTGTCAGGTTATTTATTTATTTATTTATTTATTATTTTGGTTCTTCTTCCCTGGCCTGCCCTGACTGCTTAATACACGTGCATGCATGTTTTAGTAAAAGAGTGTCTACAAATCATGAATACAAGTCCTCGTGGGGCATAGGTGGCTGTTTGTGCTCATTGTGGTCTTTGAGCTCATGTGCCTTTGAATCATATTTCCAGCTGTTGGGTGAGAACTCTCAAAGCCTCTGGGTGTGTGTGTGATTTTGGTATTTCGCTCAGCAGCATCCTTTTTTTTTTGCCCCCTGCTTTTTGGGTCACACCCAGCGATACACAGGGATTACTCCTGGCTCATGCACTCAGGAATTACTCCTGGCGGTGCTCGGGGAACCCTGTGGGATGCTGGGAATCAAATCCGGGTCGGCAGTGTGCAAGGCAAACGCCCTACCCGCTGTGCTGTCACTCCAGCCCCATCAGCAGCATCTTTTGAGCATGGATTTGATGGTGACTGGAAGTGGAACCAGAAACAGGGATGGGTGGTTTTCCTGAAGCTGAAGGGATGCCCTGGGTTCTCAGCCAATAGAAAGCAATGCTACTAGGGTTCATGGCAGGACCCGAGACCCTCATATTCTGGTGCCTCACGGGGAAGAGCGATTCTAAATGGCCTTTGGATTTCTCTCTCCTTTTGATCGTCTTTGAAGAACCCGGGGGTCAAAGTTGAGCCCACCCCAGTTCCTTGTCTTTGTAGGGCTTGGAAAGCCGCAGAGGCCTTTGTTAATTCAGGAACCATCTCGGACACCTCCAGATGGTTTTCCCTCCTGCCCCCCCCCCTTCTCCCTTCCTTTGTTTTTGTTTGTGTTAGGGAACTCTGAAACATTGATTTTGTTATTATTTGTTTTTTAAACATTGATTTTGGCTGTTACTCTCCTTTCATGTATCTGTGGGAAAGACCCAGCCCACGTCTCCCTGTCACAGTGCTTTTACAGTTCTCCCCAGGGGTGGGCCTGCCTGGTGAGGCCCATTCATCATCCCTGGTGGCCTGGCCCTGGCCGTAGGGTCAGCTCATCTCCTCTGCAGCTGACCTTTCCTTACACTTCCCTGACATTCGCTTGTGTGAGTGAAAAGTTTGGTTCCCCGAGGCACTCCCAGGAGTGGGCATTGACCTTTTCTCCTGGACAGGTTCTGCTTGATGATGCAGGGAGCGGGGGATTTGGGTAAGATTTTCTAAGGCGGAAACTGGGGGGCACTCTGTGAGAGTGTGCACAGAGTACAAATAAACACACCTTGTTGCTTTTCATCTTCAAAGAGATGCAGTGAAGCCTCCCTGCTGTGGTGGGAGGTTTGTTTTCCCTGACAGCCCTGGTGACCGTTGGGGAGGGGTGGGAGAGGAGGGAATCTGGCAAGCATTGGGGATGGGAGTGGGGGAGGGCAGGATGGTAAAATCTGGGTCTCTGAGATAGGTTTTGCTAAAGTCACCACGTGACGATGTGAACTTGGGCTTGTGTCCTCCCCATTGTCAGCAGTTCAGTAACAGAACGGGTTATTCATTCAAGTCATCAGTTTTCCCCTTTCCCCCTTTTCTGGGCTGGGGGAGGTGAGGGAACCCTGTTTTGCCACCATTTCCTGTGTCTGATGCTTGGAAGCACAGAGTTCCTTGGAGCTTCCCAAAGAGTTGGTGTACTAGGAAGTCAGATTCTGGCTCCTGAGAGTTGTCTATATCCAGGAATCAGAATCTAGACTGACCATCAGAATTTGAACTTGTTTCTTTCACCCCCCCCAACACACACACACACACACACACACACACACACACACACACACACACGCCATCCTCCTCCTTTCCTCCTACTCCCTTCTCCCTCCTGGGCTTTCCCTCCTGTTCTCAGGCATCTGTAGGTCAGGGCTTGCATGTCTTTACTCTCAAACACTTAGTTGTAAGAGTTGGGCTGGTGGTCTTGGAGGGCACTGACCAGGCAAGGGTGCATGCAGTACCAGGGGGTCTGCTCAGGGCCCTGCACACCTGGTGGCTCCAGCTCCCTGAGCGGTCTCCCCAGCCCCTAACTGTCAGTGAGCTAGTTTCCTTTAGTTCCTCTCCCCAAACCTGTCCACTGTGATGGTGGCCTGGCCAGTGGTCAATGTGCAGAGTCAGTTGCCTTGAGTAAAGACGGAACTTGTCAAAATCTAGCGCTGACCTTTTTTGCTGGGAGCCTGGTGGGAAGGTGTGTAGGCGCTAGTTCCCTGTCTTGACCTGAGTTGTAGATGTGCTTTTGTTCTATAAGCTCTCTGTTTATATTTTCCTTTTCTGTGTGTATTGCACTTTGCAATTAAAAAATAAGAGAGACGCTCTGTGCTGTGGACTTGACCCAGAGTGTTGGAACGGTTTTTTTTTTTTCAAGCTGTGAAGCAGCCCTGGGGACAAATCTATTTTTGGTTGTGGAGTTTTCTTGTTTGCTCTCTTTTCTGCTTTCTTTCTCTCTTGAAATACTTTGGAAATGTCTGGGTCATTTGTTTTTTAAGATGACCTCTGTCTTTTTATGGCATGCATGCGCGCGCGCGCGCGCGCGTGTGTGTGTGTGTGTGTGTATGAGTGTGTGTGTGCGCGTGTGTGCGCACACCTTTCTCTCACTGCATTGAATGTGTATCTATTGCCTTGGATGCCAGGAGTGCCCTTGGAAAGGACTGTTGAGAAACAGCCAGGAACTTTGAAAATGCATTTTCTTGATGCTCAATACAGGTGTTCCCTCTGTCCATACGTTCACAGTACACCACTAGGCTCTTACGAAAAACATAGTAAGTAAATACCCTTTTCCTCTAACGGAAAGAAACGGGGAGTAGGCTTTTACTTTTAAGACAGAAGCTGAAAAGCAGAAAAGCACAGCATCTGTTGGCAGCATTTGTTGTCCTGTGGCGGCCTTCTAGTCACCATCAGCACCCCAAACAGAGAGTGGGGTACCTCCCAAGCTCCTTTCCTGGAATCTATTTTATGAAACACTGTGCATTGATCATACTCAACAGCTTTTCTTTAGGTTTTGGAGTTTTGGTTTTATTTGGTAAAAATTGGCAGGTTATTTGGGTAGTTTTGGTATGCCTTAATGTAGCACTGTAGCTCTGTCCTCCTGTTGTTCATGGATTTGCTCGAGCAGGCACCAGTAACGTATCACAACAAATTGTGAGTCTTATTACTGTTTTTGGCATATCGAATATGTCACGGGGAGCTTGCTAGGCTTTGCCGTGCGGGCAAGATACTCTCAGTAGCTAGCCGGGCTCTCTGAGAGGGGCGGAGGAATCGAACCTGGGTCCGCCGCGTGTAAGCTCAGAAAGAGTAATTTC